AAAAAAAAAAAAAAAAAAAAAAAAAAAAAAAAAAAAGTGAGGGAAGGGTGTTGGCTTGGCTTCTCAGTTCCTTGGTTCTGACCCATTCTTGCCAATTCAGTGAACTTCTCTGTTTCCTCATGTCCAGGATGGCCCAGATGTATAACTAAGTACACACATCAGTCATGTTACTGTTAGTCTAATGACAGCTGTGAAACGGAAAGCAGATGGTCTTTCCGTGTTTTTGTCAACCCCGTTCTTTCCTGGCACTCTCTCAGGTGGTCTCTCAGCCATGTGTCCTCACCTTTCTTGTGCCTTGAGGATCTCCGATTACTGATAAGCTGTTATCTGACAGCTTGGACTCTGGACTCTAGTGGCAAGAGGGGCCTTCAGAACCTAAGATACAAAGTTCTCCTGGTGAGATAACAAGTAATGGAATCTACCTTCCCTCACCCAGATTTTTGGGATACAGAAGAATTTCAAGAGACGAGAATGTGTATATGGCAACCACAGAGATAAAATCATGAAACTGGATCTGCCCAATGGAGCCATTTCACATTGGCTCTTATTGTTGCTTCTTTGAGTCCAAGAAAACTTGCTGTTTAGTAATAAGGTTATATACACATAAACTTTTGGCTGTGGAGTTGGGCTAATGTCAATCACCTAGATCATAGATTTAAACCAAAGGCTCTTTTGTTCTTAACTTCCAGGTGAGTGATGAAATGGTAGTGGAGCTCATTGAGAAGAATTTGGAGACCCCCTCATGCAAAAATGGTTTTCTTCTGGATGGCTTCCCTCGGACTGTGAGGCAGGCAGAAATGGTGGGTAGCTTGGTTTTTATATTACTACTGAATGAGAGCAAACTTTTGCCCCTTGTCTCTTAATTCCTTTGAGGGTGATGGGTCTGACCAAGCTCTAGTAGCTTAGGTGGGCCACACATTCTTTTACAGCTTGATGACCTCATGGAGAAGAGGAAAGAAAAGCTTGATTCTGTGATTGAATTCAGCATCCCAGACTCTCTGCTGATCCGAAGAATCACAGGAAGGTATTTGTTCCCTGAAGGTCCCTTTCCATGCTTCTCAGAACTTTGTCCAACTTTGTCAAATGAAAATTGGTTTTGCCTAATCCCAACCATGAAACTTAGTGCTATTTCAACACCGATTGATTTTATTTGGTGACATTCACTGAAGTGGTAACTGGGATATGGAAAAAAGAGCAAGGGATTTGAAGTCAGACAGCATCTCGTTCTTGTCACTTTTTTTTTTTTTTTTTTTGAAATGGAGTATCACTCTGTCACCCAGGCTGGAGTGCAATGGTGCGATCTAAGGTCAATGCAACCTCTGCCTCCTGGGTTCAAGTGATTATCCTGCGTCAGCCTCCTGAGTAGCTAGGATTACAGGTGTCTGCCACCAGGCCCAGCTAATTTTTTTTTTGTATTTTTAGTAGAGACGGTGTTTCACCATGTTGACCAGGCTGGTTTTGAACTCCTGACCTCAAGTGATCCGCCCACCTTGGCCTCCCAGAGTGCTAGGATTACAGGCATGAGCCACTGCACCTGGATCTTGTCACTTTTTTTTTTTTTTTTTGAGACAGAGTCTTACTCTGTTGCACAGGCTGTAGTGCATTGGCGTGATCTTGGCTCACTGTAACTTCTGCCTCCCGGGTTCAAGCAATCCTCCTGTCTCAGCCTCCTGAATAACTGGGACTATAGGCATGTGCTACCACACCTGGCTAATTTTCGTATTTTAGTAGAGACAGGGTTTTACCATGTTGGCCATGCTGGTCTCGAACTCCTGACCTGAAATGATCCACCCTCCTCGGCCTCCCAAAGTGTTGGGATTACAGGTGTGAGCCACTGCACCTGGCCACTTGGTAGTTTTTAACTGTGACCCATGGCACATTTCTTAACCTCTCTGAGACTGTTTCCTCATAGGTAGAAAGGGGGCTGATAACACCTGCTTTGAGGAGCTATTGCACGTGTTAGGTAACATTAAATGCTTAGTTGAAATCCTTGCCTATATTAGGTGCTTAAGAAATGTTAATTTATTTACATGTGTATCTCCATTTTAGTGCTCCTTGAATCTAATTTCAGCTGGAGTTGCCATACTTTGCTGTAGACTTTTTATTAATTATAAAAATAATATAGGCCGGGCGCGGTGGCTCAAGCCTGTAATCCCAGCACTTTGGGAGGCCGAGGTGGGTGGATCACGAGGTCAAGAGATCGAGACCATCCTGGTCAACACGGTGAAACCCCGTCTCTACTAAAAATACAAAAAAAAATTAGCCGGGCATGGTGGCGCATGCCTGTAATCCCAGCTACTCAGGAGGCTGAGGCAGGAGAATTGCCTGAACCCAGGAGGCGGAGGTTGCGGTGAGCCGAGATTGTGCCATTGCACTCCAGCCTGGGTAACAAGAGCAAAACTCCGTCCCCCCAAAAAAAAAAATATATATATGTATATGTATGTATATATATATATATATATATATATATATATAAAACCATCCATACAAAATTTAGAAAATGGAGGAAAAATTTGCTCATAGTATAGCCACTTTATTTGTGTGTATGTGTGTGTGTGTTTTAACATGTTTGTTTCTCTATAATAGCATTGAACACATAAATGCCTCTGCTTCTGGACACTTGTTCTGACAGACCAACACAGCTTTAGGCTACAGTTTTTTCTACCGTATTTCAGTTATCACTCACATCTGCTTTGTGCCTTCAGAAGTATGTTGGAAGCTTTCAACTGCTAACGGACCCTCCATTCTCTTCTTTATTGTGGGCTGTAGCTTTTTATGTCTTTGTCATTTTAATGGTGTCTCAGGAAAGTGGTCAGCCCACCATCTTGAACCAGATATCCATGACCACTATTTTTAATTGCTCTGTGATATTTCACAGTAGGCAAACCATTGTTTAGTTATTTCCTTATTCTGCATTTGTGTTTCTTCCAGTTAGCCACTGTTAAATGATACTATAGCCATCATAATGCATGTAAATTTTTGGATTTAATTAGGAAAAAATGTTTTCTTATTTCAGACTTTATTACTTTGATTTCCTAATAAGGTTGAACATCTTTTCCATGTGTTTGTAATCCATACCCTCAAGGAGAGAGACAACGCAGTGTTAGCATTGTTATCCTGGAAAGCAATATGAAATACAGTGGATTCTACCTTATATTAATTTTCTTTTCAAATGTCTAGGTTACATGTCTCCAACTATTCCATGGGCTCCTTCATTGCAGGAACTTCTGTTTCTTTGTATCCCCACTGGACACAGAGTAGACAAAGTTGATGTAAATTGAGAAGCAGTAGGGTTAACAGTAAAGACATCATCAGGCCTGGGGTCTCTGAGGCACTGAGCAGGTATTAGCAAAACCAGGTTATACTGGGGACCTTTCATTCTATGGGCCCAGCTTCCTACATAGCCCAGTACTAGACCCTGGGAGCAGAGGACCAGGAGAGGCTCTAGTATAACCATATAGTGAAATGCCCATCTGTGACCTCAGAGAGTCATATATGAAACTTGGGCTGTTCAGTGTAGTAAGAAGTTCAAGAAGAAAGCCTGGGGACAGGGAAGAAAGGCTTCCTAGGATAGAGCTAACATCAAACTCCTACCTTCCCAGATGAAGAGTATTTCAGTGAGACTTTCCCAGAAGGGAGTAGAAGTGGTAATGAGTATGGGGTGCGCTCTCGCTGAAGCTAGTAGCACACATGTCTGCCCAGTGGTCTGGGGGGCAGGATGGTAGAAGGAATGCTGTTGAGAAGATAAAATGGGAGCTTTACTGGGGAGATCTGCCAAACCAAAGAGGGTAGACTTCACAGAGTTCAGGATTCATGAGATATTCTAGAGTCTCTGGCTGTTGTGCCAAAAACAGTATTCTAACAACATTAGCTTGGTCCTGGTGTACAAGGTAAATTAGGACAAGGAGAAACAGATAAGGACACCATCTAGGAGCTGATTATGATCCACATGATGTGATGGAGGTTTCTAACTGAGGTTGGGCAGGAGAGAATAGAGATTCTGAAGAACAAATAGCAGGATTGCTGTAAAGCGTGAAAGAGAGAAGACTCAGTCCCTCCATTTGGAAGGAGGTGGTTGGTGTGACTTCCTCCCTCACAGAGAGAAGGACCCCCTTCTTCACAGAACATGTCACTGCTGAAGGTGTTTTTCCAAGTTTACCCAGATGAGTGACAGGATTAGCCCTGGAAGCCTGCTTTCTGCCTCCCAGTCCAACATGTTGATGGTTAGAAGAAAATGAGGCAAGAACTAGTCAGTTTAATACAGATCTTTTTTATTTTTCTTTTCTTTCTTTCTTTTTTTTTTTTTTGAGACAGAGTCTAACTCTGTCACCCAGGTTGGAAATAGATGTTGGCTGTTTGGAGATGCTGGAAATGAACCCAGGACCTCACACAGGATCTTTTTCAAGTCTGAGATGATATGGACCCCATTGTAACAATCTTCTGAATTAGCTCCCACCTCACTTCTAGTCATTTTGAGTCGTTGTTCAGCTTCTTGAATATGAGTAGTTGGTGGTTGTGGTTTTTGTTTTTAACTTATTCTCATATCCTAATTATCCTACCAGTTGGATCTCTGTTATTATCTTAATATCTTAACCATCCCAATTTTCTGGATGAGAAAACAAGCATTTAAAGCATCATACTCAATGTTGGGTGCAGTGGTTCATACCTGTTATCCCAGCGTTTGAGGGGGGCCTAACTAAACAGGAGGATTACTTGAGGCCAGGAGTTTGAGACCAGCTTGAGCAACATAGCAAGACCTCATCCCTACTAAAAAGCAAAAAAAAAAGTTAGCCAAGTGTGGTGGTGCGCACCTGTGGTGGTGGTAGTCCCAGCTACTTGGGAGGCTGAGGTGGGAGGACTGCTTGAGCTTGGGAGGTCGAGGCTGCGCTGAGCCGTGATTAGGCCACTGCACTCCAGCCTGCATGACAGAGCAAAACACTGTCTCAAAAAAATAAAAATAAAGTGTCATACTCATGGTAGCAGTGATTGTAGATTCCCTGCCCTGATGGCACCTCCAAGCCAGGCTTAGTGGCTCATAGAGCTATTTTGGTTTTCTTGAGACCAGTCCCATTTGGAAAACTTGGAGAGTGGGCTTTCTTTCATTTACCTTCTAAGGAATGAGCCTTGCATTCCTTTTAAAAAGTGGTATTTGTGAATAAGAAAAGAATAGTGTGTGGGAGTCATATTTGTTGTAGCCTGGCTGCTATGTGCCTTGTGCTCTCTAGAAGGTGAAAAAATATCCTGGTCCACATCTCATGCCCCTAGCTCTTCTCAAAATTGCTGCTGCTGAACCTAGCAGCCTGCTGTCCCCTCTCCCTGGGTCTCCCAGTGGATGCCATTTCTGAATGAATGCATCAGAGGAACGCTTCCAGACACTCAAGTAATGGAAGGTCCAGCCTCACAGTACATGACTGCAGTCACAGGAGCCTTTACTCCTCTGTCCAGTGGCCTTCCGTATCCACGATACTCTCATCCACAGATTCAAGCATTCATGGATTAAAAATATTCAGAACAAAACACCAATAAATATAACCTGGGAAAGCTGAAGAAAATAAAAAATAATACAAATTTTAAAATGCAGTATAGCAATTCTTTACGTGGCATTTACATTGTATTAGGTATAAATAATCTAGAGATGATTTAAAGTATACAGGACAACCAGCCTGGGCAACATGGCGAGACCTTATCTCTACAAAAATATAAAAAATTAGACCAAGTGAGGTGGCTCACGCCTGTAATCCCAGCACTTTGGGAGGCCAAGGCAGGCGGATCACAGGGTCAGGAGTTCAAGACCAGCCTGACCAACATGGTGAGACCCCCCCACCGCCACCCGTCTCTACTAAAAATACAAAAAATTAGCCAGGCATGGTAGCAGGCGTCTGTAATCCAAGCCTACTCAGGAGGCTAAGGCAGGAGACTTGCTTGAACCCAGGAGGTGGAGTTGCAGTGAGCCAAGACCACGCCACTGCCTCCAGCCTGGGCAACAGAGTGAGATTCCGTCTCAAAAAAAAAAACAAATAAATAAACAAAAATAAAAATAAAATTAAAAAGCCAGGCACAGTGGTGCATGCCTGTAGTCATAGCTATTCCAGAGGCTGAGGCAGGAGGGTCACTTGAGCCCAATAGTTTGTGGTTACAGTGAGCTATGGTCATTGCCATTGCACTCTAGCCTGGGCAACAGAGCAAGACTATGTCTCAAAAAATAAAGTATACAGGAGAATATGCATATGGAAATGCTATACCATTTTATATCAGGGACTTGAGCATCTGTGGATTTTGGTTTCTACAGAGGGGGTTCCTGGAACCAGTTCCCACCATGGATACCAAGGGATGACTATATAGCTTATTTTCTCTACTGTCACCTCCCTCGTGCCCATAATCCAATGATACTTTATGCCATAAATGGACCATCTTGTCCCCCAAAATATGCTGTGATTAAAACACAGTAGCACATTTTACAGTGGTGCTCCTTCAGTAGTCTAAATAGAGTTGAATATTTATTTTTTTGAGACAGAGTCTTGCTCTGTCACTCAGGCTGGAGTGCAGTGGCACAATCTCGACTCACAGCAACCTCCTTCACCCAGGTTCAAGCAATTCTCCTGCCTCAGCTGGAGATCCCAAGTAGCTGGGATTACAGGTGCCTGCTACCACACCCAGCTAATTTTTAGTAGAAACGGGGTTTCAGCTGGGCGCGGTGGCTCACGCCTGTAATCCCAGCACTTTGGGAGGCTGAGGCCGGCAGATCACAAGGTCGAGAGATCGAGACCATCCTGGCCTACATGGTGAAACCCCATCTCTACTAAAAATACAAAAATTAGCTGGGCATGGTGGTATGCACCTATAGTCCCAGCTACTTGGGAGGCTGAGGCAGGAGAATCACTTGAACCCAGGAGGCGGAGGTTGTAGTGAGCCAAGATCGCGCCACTGTACTCCAGCCTGGCAACAGAGTGAGACTTCGTCTCAAAAAAAAAAAAAAAAAGCCAGGTGCGATGGCTCACGCCTGTAATCCTAGCACTTTGGGAGGCTGAGGTGTGTGGATCACCTGAGGTCAGGAGTTCAAGACCAGCCTGGCCATCATGATGAAACCTGATCTTAAAAAAAAAGAAGAAGAAACGAGGTTTCACCATGTTGTCCAGGCTGGTCTCGAACTCCTGACCTTGGGCGATCTGCCCACCTTGGCCTCCTAAAGTGTTGGGAATAAGGTATAAGCTCCTGGGCCCAGTCCAAATATTGCTATGCATGCCAAATGGTGAAAAATATTAGGGATCTCTAGTCTAATAGACCTTCATGAGAAGAGCAGCCATTAGTTAAATAAGCAAACAAACACTTCGTTGGCAGAGAATTGGGAAACCACAGAACTCAAGCAAGGCCTGGCTGCTGAGCAGAGCTTGACCTACCTCCTTTCCTTAGGTTTCTAGTCTTCTGTGGTGTGGCCATTCCCAGTCAGGAATGTGGGTGTGTCACCTATGGGGACTCAGCACAGGTACAGTTACCCGCCATACATTCAGTGCCAAACAAATGCCTTTGTTGAGCTCTCTATTCCATAACTTGTTTAATAAGTCCTTTTTCCTGATGACTTGAATATTGCTCCATAAGAGTTAGGCTGTCTTTTATCTTATGTGTGATCAAAAAGATGTGTTGCATTATCTTGCAGTGTTTGCATCCATGGGAAATGTTTTTCCTGGTAGTACCTTTCTGGTTTTGTAACCAAACTAGTTTAGGAAATAGAATTCATTTCTTTTCTCTTCTGTCCCCCATAGCTCTTTGTACAAATCTCCGTTAAAGGATTATCATATTTGTTATTTATTTCCACATTTGTCTCCCCCACTGAGCACTACTTGTGGACAGGGATCATTCATTACTCATTGCTTTGTAGCCTCTGAATTCAGCTTAAGGCTTTAATGGGAGTAGGTACTTATTAATGTTTATTTAGTGAGTGTGTAAAAAGAATGGATGACTGTGAGACTAGCACCAGAGTTCCTTCTCTCTAGTTCTGAATTAGGTAGTTATGCCAGCAGTTTGCTCTTCAGCCAGAAATGCGTAATAATATTTGGTCAAAATAGAAAATATACTCTGCCGCTGGCATAAGCTCTCCTGAAAGCTGTTATTTAGCTGGGTTTTCTGCCGGGTGCTGGGTTCTTGCATCCAGCATCCCTGTCTGCTTGTCATTCTGGAGGTCCCTGGAGTGTGGAGTGCAGGCGTGTACTGTCAGTTAACCTGACTCATATTCATTTGCTGCCTTTCAGGCTGATTCACCCCAAGAGTGGCCGTTCTTACCATGAGGAGTTCAACCCCCCAAAGGAGCCCATGAAAGATGACGTATGTAAACGCAGGACAAGAAATTTCCTTTTCTTTCCTTCTGCCTTCTTCACTGTTTTTCTTTTGTTCTTTCCATTGTCTTTTTATTTCTACCAATATTACTAACATAGTCATGAAAATGACACTATCAGGCTAATCACACGGCCAGTGTCAGATCTATTCCGTGTCTCCTCAGGTGGTTTATTGCTTGGCCTCAAGGTAGCTACCAGTGGTGCCAGCTTTTTGCAGTGCCCAGATTGTACTTGTCTTCTGTCAAGAGCAGCCCCTCTCTGACATCGTGGCCACCTAAGTGGTCAGCTAATAAGGAGAAGCTTTCTTAAAAGCCTAGAATTGGAGAGGGGGGAGAGTGTGACACCAAAGAGAATTTGCTGACCAGTCCTCCAAAAGCATATTCTTTTCCTATAGTTACTGTTGCTGTACTGTGTCCTGGAGTCTCATACATGGTCACTGCACCATTTGCCATAAAGAGTCTACATGGTCTGTTTTAGAGCATGTAAACAACAGTAAGAATTTCCTGGATTTATCTTTGTCCTATGAAACAAGTTCATCAGGTCACCCAGGTTCTATAAATACAGGTTCTAGAGCCATTATGGCAACTTGGTCACATTTTGTGAAGTTGCTAATTCTACCATTCAAAGTTCTTTCTCATTTTACTTTCCACTTTTAGAATGTTGATGAGTGACAATCTAGTAAATATGCTAAATATTTAAGCAACTAAGATTACAATTGCTAATGCATCTTTGATTTTGGTGTATTCTCCTAGTTTTAGGGGCTTTTGACTTCCTTACTTTTGACCCTAGAAGTGTTTACCTTGGAAGCTGAATCGCCTGAGCAGAAAGCTGAGAAAGTCATTGCCTATCTTCCCCTTGTGAGCCCCTTTCCTCACAGTTGCTGTTTCTGACAAACTCTCTGACTTCTCTGGACAAGCTGCTCTGCTCCTGGGAGTACCAAAGTTCTTTATTGGAGAGGGCCTGAATTGCCTGTCAGCCTCTGATGGGCTTTGGGAGCAGACAGCATCCTGGGCAGAATGGTCCCATCTCAAATCTGCATCTGGCATGGAATAAGAAAACCTTGCTAACAGTCCCAGCCTTTCATTGCTCTCTTCATATTCTCAGATCACCGGGGAACCCTTGATTCGTCGATCAGATGATAATGAGAAGGCCTTGAAAATCCGCCTGCAAGCCTACCACACTCAAACCACCCCACTCATAGAGTACTATAGGAAACGGGGGATCCACTCTGCCATCGATGCATCCCAGACTCCTGATGTTGTGTTCGCGTGCATCCTAGCAGCCTTCTCCAAAGCCTCATGTAAAGACTTGGTTATGTTTATCTAATGTTGGGTCCAAGAAGGAATTTCTTCTTCCTATTCCTGTGAGGGAGTGGTGGGAATGGCAGGACAGGCAAAGAGAAGCTTCCTCAGGCTAGCTAAAATATCATTTGATGTATTGATTAAAAAAGCACTTGCTTGATATATCTTCGGCGTGTTTGCTAGGCTCATCTCATCTGTGTATGCGTGTTGGATGTGTGTGTGCTCAGGTATATATGTGTTCACTCTCCTACTTTCTAAGTTTTGGGCTAGGTGGCTTTACTAGCTGTTTATTTCTTTTTTGTTGTTGTTTTGAGACACGGTTTCACTCTGACACCCAGGCTGGAGTGCAGTGGTGTACTCTTGGCTTATTGCAGTCTCTGCCTCTTGGGCTCAAGCAATTCTCCCACCTCAGCCTCCTGAGCAACTGGGACTACGGGTGCGTGCCACAACACCTGGCTGATTTTTGTATTTTTTTGCGGAGACAGGGTTTCGTCAACTTGCCCAAGCTGGTCTTAAACTCCTGGGCTTTAGCAATCCACCCACCTTGGCCTCCCAAAGTGCTGGGATTACAGACGTGAGCCACCACACCCGGCCCAGCTGTTTACTTCTTTTTTTTTTTTAATTGCATTTTAGGTTTTGGGGTACATGTGAAGAACATACAAGATTGTTGCATAGGTACACACATGGTAGTGTGATTTGCTACCTTCCTCCCCTTCATCTATATCTGGCATTTCTCCCCATGCTTTCTCTCCCCAACTCTCCACCCCCCTGCTGCTTTTTTTTTTTTTTTTTTAAATCTTATGACCAGCTTAGAGAAGAGCTGTTTACTTCTTTAACCATACTTTTGATTTTATATTTTGACCAAAATAAACTAACTCAGGTAATCTTCCAGGGATCACAATTCTGAAACTTCACAGTATTTCTTCCATTTCCAGCAGCTGATTAGAAGCCCAGCATCATGTGAAGTCAGGCAGGGTCACAATTCTTGATGGCACATTATTGGTAGAGAATTCCATTTGTTTTCTAACTCATAATGAAAAGCCACATGAGTCAGAATGTGAACAGAGATCATTAATTTTTTCCCCCTAAGTGGAAGGACAAAGGTACTTACGTTGCAGATTATAGAAATTACTGGGAGAGGATATCATCATAGAAAGAGCCAGGCCAAGTTGGAGTATTTTTGTGATCTGCATCATGATGCTGAAAAGTAGGGATTATTTGGGACTTGGATTTGAAAACTGAATTGTTGCCAGAGAATTAAACCAGGTGAAAGGTCCTTTTACATTCATATTGTCTTCTGAACATCCAGGCTGAGCGTCTGAGAGCAGCCAAATCTACTTCCCCAAAGAGAGACCAGGGTAGGTTTATTTGCTTTTATTTTTAATCTTTGCCTCTGTTTCCAAGTGTGAACAAAACAGTGTGTGATCTGTTCTTGGATTCATTTTGATTAGTATTTATTCAAACCCAGTCTCTCTCCAGGACATAAAACTGAAATCAGATATGTTCCTTTTAAACCCAAACCCTCTCCCTTCTAGATCCAACCTTTCACCCTAATTTTATCATGGCTATAGCCACAGACTTCCCCAAGAAAAGATCACCCAGAAATAAGACCACCCGTGACAGTAACCAGCTTTTATTCATAACCTTAGCTTCCCAACTGTTGAGCATTTTTTTTTTCTTTTATTTTCTTTTTTTTCAACTCATTGCTCAGTATCACAGAACTGTTGAGCATTTTCTAAAGTCCCTGCTGTGCCTTTTGGTCTCTGGTTGGATTTGTGGGAAACAGATGAAGTAACAGACTGCTATGAAGGACTACAAAAACAGCGGCCTCTGGAAAAACCATTAGAAAGTCAGTGGCAGGGCCAGGCGCAGTGGCTCACACCTGTAATCCCAGCACTTTGGGAGGCCGAGGCGGGTGGATCACGAGGTCAAGAGATCGAGACCATCCTGGTCAACACGGTGAAACCCTGTCTCTACTAAAAATACAAAAAATTAGCTGGGCGTGGTGGCGCGTGCCTGTAATCCCAGCTACTCAGGAGGCTGAGGCAGGAGAATTGCCTGAACCCAGGAGGCGGAGGTTGCTGTGAGCCGAGATCGCGCCATTGCACTCCAGCCTGGGTAACAAGAGCGAAACTCCGTCTCAAAAAAAAAAAAAAAAAGTCAGTGGCAGATCCAGTAAATAATGCCTCCTGCCTCAGCATAATCTGCTGCTGACTCAATGCAATGGACTCTAAAGTGCCCAGCCTTCTGACCTGAGCTCTCCTGCTGTCTGTGGGAGTACCGGAGGGCTTATCTGCCATCCACATGGCAGCTGGGCATGAGTATGTGGCCACCTTGCTTCCCTCTTTGCCTGGTCCAAGTGAGTTTCTGCTGCCTCTGCCCTGCCTTGTTTTCCTGGCTCTAAGCTAACTCCCCCCACCCTTAATGGAAACTCAGTCTGGCTTTGTGTGTTTCTGGGAAGCACATGACTTCTGGGAATGGGCAAGGAAGAGGAGTGAAACAAAAACTGTCAGCTATGTGTGCCTGGTCTGGGATCCTTCTCTGGGTGAAAGTGACATCATGAATCTTACAATCAGCTCCCCTTTAACTAGGGACGATAGTAAACACTTGGCCTCAAAGTTGAACTGAATGTTTGCTAATTGAATGTACATGATCCTTGCCCAAATATTTGTCATCCATCCACATATACTCATGTGCGCATACATGTGCAAGTAATATTTGGGCTGCCCATAAGAACTAGAAGATTCATAGGGAATGAATATACCTTCTCAGGATGCTTAGGATTCTGTTTTTGCTTCATTTAATTCCAGAGTCTTAACCTCAGCAGGTTCTGCTTTTACCTGGCAGAGAAATGTCCAGTGTTCAATGCATTTGGTTGCTGGGGCTGGCATGCCAGCTTCCTCTGATATGTACTTGGTTTTTAAAAACCCATTTTGTTCTCTCTTGTTTCCTCTCTATTTCAGCCTAGTATCAGAAGGCCAGGCGAGACTGCACCACTGCTCATCACCCTGCGGCATGATCCCTGCTCTTAGGTGCTGGGCAGAAGGGAAGGGGGGTCAGGGTGAGGATGGTGAGGGAGGGCTGGTGAGGGGCTCAAAAGGAATACTTGGAAGAACAGCAGTGTTACTGTAGTGAGGCAGTTTCTTTTATACATAAGTAGGAGTTTTTAAAGTGTAAGGGAAAAATTAATTTTTTAAAAAACACCATGCTTGGAGGGTGGGGGTAGAAATACAGAGCTACAGTATTATTTCTAAGGAATCGGGTTCTCAATTACTCTGGACTGGTGACAATATTTTTTAAAGCCAGCGCTCTAAGACCTCAGCTTTTATCTCAGAACCCCATGGGTTCCAGACCAAGAGTACAGGAAATCAAATTATTGTCCGGTCTGTCCTATAGCTTGGAACAGGGAGGCTTTGACTACTGACCCTGGTTTCACACACTGTAAGATCAAAAAATCATCTCCACATTTGAAAGAGATATAAGATGTCTTCATAGTGATGGGGGATCAACAAATCAAGCTTACTGGAATCAAGGGGAGGGGGAAGAGAATGGAATGGAAAGGGAGGCTGACTCCCTTCCCCTGACCTACCAATGATTCACCAGGCCACCTACTCTCATGAGTAACCTCTCCCAGCTACCCAATAAATGCCACAATCCTATGCTCTTGCCTTTTATCTGCAGTGTGTGAAGGGACCCTTTTAAATAAATAAGCAAATGTCCCAAGCTGTATCATCCAAAGATTGTCCTTTCCATTCTCTAATCCTGTGACTGGGATCACTCAACAGCACTGTGATATATTATTTTCAATGAGGTGCCTTTCTTAACTGACCAAATGCTGCCTTATTTGGCCCTAAGTCAATAAAATATGTTAAAATTTGTATCCCCTGTTGTGGCATTTTTTTAGATAATCTAATGACATTGAATTCTGGACCTGGCTTGGACAGAAAGGAAGCCCTTTCTTGTGGTCACTGGCAGCTGTGTGGTAGGAAAGTCCAAGTATTTGCCCATAAGATAAACCTACACCCTGTTGACCTTCAGCTCCTATGCAGGCTTTTCTTCAGCCCACAGACAAGGCACCTTGGTCTAGTGGAGAGAGCACTGTGCTTGGAGTTGAGGGGACCTAAGACAAATCCCAGCCAGTTAGTTATTCACTCTGCTCCTGTTTTCTCAGCTGAAAAAGGAAGTTGGTTATGCCACTTTCTCAGCCTTAATGGCATTAAATGAAATTTATAGGAAGAAGCTTTTTGTTCAGTACCTGGCACGCATGAGACATTGGATAAATGTTAGTTGGATCCAGATATACACAGAAAAATACCTGCTTCCTGCCAGGCTGGATAGTTGTTGAATGGACCCTTGTCCATAATCCAGAAAACCAGTGCTTCTAATCCCTAAGCCAGATCGTTTACTACCTTTTCAGTTGCTTCCTTTTTTTTTTTTTTTTTTTTTTGTATTTTTAGCAGAGACGGAGTTTCACCATGTTGGCCAGGCTGGCCTCGAACTCCTGACCTCTTGATCTGCCAGCCTTGGCCTCACAAAGTGCTGGGATTACAGGCATGAGCCAATGCGCCCAGCCTTCAGTTTCTTCTTTAACACCATTTATTGCTTCTATGTGTGTCCTGGTTTAAATCATTTCCTCTCCAGCAAAAGTGAGCTTAAATCATTTGTCCAAACTAAAGTTTTCATGCTTTTGGAAGGGTTGCCTTTGCAAGTGAGGTTTCTGAGAAATGACTGTTGTTCCCAAAACAAGAGGGAGCTAGGCTGAAAGCACTACCATTCTTCTTTAGGCGTCTTGTTACAGAGAGAGGCAGGGTCCTCACTGACAAATTAAATCCTGTTCCCTGATCCAGCCCCTCCTCCTGCTCCACTTACTCACCTCTGCAGAGTCATTTTCAGGTGTCAGCCTTACTGATTTGCACTGATCTGTTTGTTCCCTGAGCTTTTTAAATGCCCCATGAAAATTTTCTTTCCTCTCTTGGTCATCGTGCATCTAATTGCAGGGAAATGTTTGCCAAACCAACCTGTGAAGCAGCATAGTGTAGTTGAGAAGAATAAACAGAGAAGACTGGGTGAGCTATTGTTTGTTTGCTTCTTTGGGCCTGGGTTTCCTCATCCAATCTGCAAACCAAGAATGCACACTAATCCTACCACTCCTGGAAGACTGACTTCATGAGAGGTACTATGCAAAGGCTTCACATAACCCTCACAGCACCCTATGCAGTCAGAACTGTCCTTCACTTTTATAGGTGAGGAAACCGGAGTCGGAAGGGTGAAGTGGCATTCCTGAGGTCATGCATAAGAGGCAGTCAGGACTCAAACAGTCTCTAACACTTATCTGTTCCTTGACCTTGTTGCCGAAGTAATTTAATTACTTGCGTGGCTCTGCAGACAGGAAGAGCTGCCCTGAATAAGAGCTCTTTTCCATGGACACTCAGCACTGCCAGAACTGATTTTAAAGAAATCACTCCCAGCTCTGAGGACCCAGGGTATGTGTCTTAAGATCTCCTATGTGTACAGAGTGTCACTGACAGAACAGAGCAGGATGGAGAACAGCCTCCTCAGAAGCCTCACGAGTCTTTCCTCAGTTGAAGACAGAGCAACAAGTCAGAAGACAGATTTCAACAACAACTTCACCATGCAACCTTGGGCAAGTTATCTCCCCTCATCAGTAGAATGGGAAGGATCCCTACCCCTCAAGGGTGCTGATGACACTAGGGACCAAGATATTCATGTGGGTTGGGCTGCCAAAGACACAGCAGATGCTTAGTAAACAGATGGAATTCAGAGGGAAAATGTAGGCATTGATGAGAGCTGTTGTGTTACCATCTGGAACTAGGCTAAGGATCCCCTAGAAATCATGGACCTCTGAAATTATATGCAGAATTCTTTATGTGTTTTCATAGTAGTCTAACATTAAATTCTTAACTGTGTGGGAGGTTTTGCATGCATTATCTTATTTATTCTCAATAGCCCTATGGAGGTAAGTATTGCGATTATCTCTATGGTAGGTCTATGGACTTTGAAGTTCAGACATCTGATAATGGCAGAACCAGAGCATGAGCCCAAGTCTGGCTCCACACCCCAGCCCCTTACCACTGTGCCAATTGCTTTGACGCTTTGCTGGGAGAGGGGAAATGATCTCAAAGGCACTCATGATACAGAAAAGGCTATGAGCCATGGATCTAAACAAAAGGAGAACTTGAGTGGGTTTTCTCTGTTACAGTGAAGAACCTGCCACAGGTAAGACCTTTTTCTATTTTGTCATCCTCTGTTGTTTCCATATTGTTGGTGCTAAAGCTCCAATGTGCTGGATTTGCAAAGCTCCTGGAATCACCCGTATTCCAGAAAGGCTGGAGGGGCGAGTTAAGATGGGGGAAAGGAGCCATTTCCTGTCCCCTGTCCCCTGTCCATAACTGTCCTGGTTCTGGGAAAGGTGGTCATGAGAGGGTGTGTATGCAGGCTTTTAAGTCACAGGCAGCTCTCTAGACTGCAGCTCTGTGTGGCTGATGGCATTGCATTATTCATAACTCCAGAGGGAGCAGTGTGCTTCTGATGTCTTGGGAATGCAGCAGCTCCGTGTTTAGAATCATCCATGGCAGTGTGATGATGAGCTTTTCTCACAGAGGCCCCCTTCCAGGTCCCCAGTCCAGGTCGAGGTGCCCCAGCAGGAAGCAGGTGGGAGTAGAAAGACAAAGTATCAGAGGCCCAAGACAAAATGGGCCTAGATCCTGTGCAGATAGCTTTGAGGCCAATAAGACAAACAGATCTGCACTTTTGGGGTAAAGTTGCTATGGAGCAAATCATTTCATTGTGTGGTGTTCCTCAAGGGTTTTCCAGACAAATTCCTCTGAGCTTAGAGCTAGTTGTTCATTATGCTCCCTGTTTAGCTGGTCTTCTTTCTTCTACTAGATAAGAAATGCTTCTTTTTTGGCCAAGCGCAGTGGCTCATACCTGTAATCCCAGCACTTTGGGAGGCTGAGGCAGGTGGATCACAAGGTCAGGAGTTAGAAACAAGCCTGGCCAACATGGTGAAACCCTGTCTCTAGTAAGGATATAAAAAATGGGGCATGGTGGCACACACCTGTAATCCCAGCTACTGGGAGGCTGAGGCAGGAGAATTGCTTGAACCCAGGAGGCATAGGTTGCAGTGAGCCGAGATCGTGCTATTGCACTCCATCCTGGGTGACAGGGTAAGACTCTGTCTCAAAAAAAAAAAAAAAGCTTCATTTTCTGCCGTTTTCCTTTTTGTCCTGGCTGTGAGGAAACTCAGAACTACAACTTGTGTTCGGTTGTTAATCATTCCTCAGCCATGGTTTCTTAATAAAATTCCAATGCCAGCCCAATCTTAATGCTATTTTTAGCATTTTTGTGCTTATGTGTGTTGTAAACTGCCTTGAGTCTGTTTTGGAAGAGAAGCAGAGTGTAAAGGAAGGGCTAATTATGCAGTACAGGAGGTCAGACTGCAGAGAAGAGGGTAGCTTTGTGAAGGAGTTGGGATCCAGGTGACTCCATGCAGAGGGTGGTGGCAGTCCAGCTGAGGGCACAGCACAGGGGAAGCCACTGGTGCTCTAGGCCTCTTTAACCTCAAACAGGGGTCCCCAACCCCTAGGCCATGACTGCCACCAGCAGGAGGTGAGTGACAGGCAAGCAAGCATTACCACCTGAACTCTGCCTCCTGTCAGTTCAGCAGTGGCAGTAGATTCTCATAGGAGCACAAACCCTGTTGTGAACTATACATGTGAGGAATGTAGGTTTGCTCGCTCCTTATAAGAATCTAGTAATGCCTGATTATCTGAGGTGGAACAGTTTCATCCTGGTCTGTAAAAAAATTATCTTCCACAAAACTAGTCCCTGGTACCAAAAATGTTGGGGACTGCTGACCTAGAGAACCCCTACTAGAGTTCTTGGGAAATCTGTATCTGGTTAGAGATAAGTTTTTCAAAGCACAGGGACAATAGGAGGGAAGTTTTTCAACTCATGAATAATGTCAATAATGCAGAAGAGCAAAAGACAAGGACATGCACATAGAGATTTGATGGGCTGCTTTAAGCTCAGCCCATGTGCCACTTTTCCTCCCTCCCCTAAACACACCACAGTCTTGCTTTGACCATGAATAGGTGATCCTTTGCTGTGGGGCTGAAGTGGGGGAAGTCCCTCAGTTTTATTGTCAGCTCTGTTTTCCAGTCATGTGTCTAGTGTGGGCATGAGTTCTGGGGATGACAAAGATGGTCTGTGGTTAGATCTTGGCCCTGACAATAGCTTGCTATGTGCCTTGAGGGAGACAACCTGTTAACCTGTAAGCCTCAACAAATCATCTGTAAAATGAAGATCATAGCAGTCATCTAGAAGGAGTCATATGAATTGAGAAATAGCAGCTGCCCAATAAATGATCCTTTCTATGTCCTTTCCCAAGGCCGTTTGCTGAGGAGAAAAGTACCTTACCATGGCTACCAGCTATTTCAGAATAGGTGTCTTTACCCATTCCTATTCTCTAGTGCCACCTAATCCCCATGGAATACTGTACCAAACCAGAACAGGTTGCTTTTCACTGGGGTGTTTCCTAAGCTGCCAAATGTGCCCTTGAGTGGAGATGGGAATCAGTGTTCTCTTCTCCAGGGATGCTGATTCTACTCCAGGCTGGCAGGAGACATTGCGGTCCTGACATGGCAGCCAACCAGATAGCAATGATCTTGGCACCCCCAAAGCTTACTGGAAGTAGAACATTCTATAGTTGAAGATGAGGGGAACATCTTCAACTGCTGAAACCACACCTTGGCCTGACTATACCCACTCCTATCTTGAGGCCAAAATAGAATAGGGAGCATGGAAAAATATGATGGGGTAGATTTGTGTGCATGTGACACCAGTGAGGTGCTGGAGTGGGCCGAGAGAGCCTTCAGTGAGAATATGTTGGCTCATGTTTTGAAAACCTTTGAAAATTGTCCTGTGGTAAGGGAATGAGAACAGTACCTCTCTCTTTGTGCTGTTGACGGGATGAGTTCATGTCTATCAGGTGTTTTAGAACAGTGACGCCCATAGTGCTCAGTAAGTGTTTCCTAGCTAGCAGCTCTGGCTCAGCAATTCCAGTTTGTACATGTACCCCAAGGAAATGACTAAGTATGTGCAGAAAGCATTCTTTATAACAGGGTTAGAATTGGAAACAACCTAAATTTCCAACAAAAGGGGAGATTGGCTGATTCATTCATGGGATGGAATAGTTTGTGATCATTAAATAAGTCATTTTAAAACAGAAAAATTTTATGATAAATTTATTAGGTGCATAAACAAAGGTTTTAAAACAATAAAGCATGGAATTTCCCTCGTAGAAACAGGATCTCCATATATTGCCAAGGCTGGTCTTGTGTATCACCACATCTGGGTAAAGAATGGGTCTATTTTTAAAATGAAACTTTTTATTTTGGAGTAATTTTAGGTTTACAGAAAAGTTCTGAAGATGGTATAGAGAGTTTCTGTATACACTTCATCTACTTTCCCCTAATGTTAACATTTTATGTAAGTATGGTACATTTGTCAAAACTTAAGGTTAACATTGGTACGTTACTAGACTGACTATATTTGGTTTTCACTCGTTTTTCCACAATGTCTTTTCTATTCCAGGCTCCAACCCTTTATACCACATTGCATTTAATATATTTTTTTAATTTAAAAGTTTATGTACATAGAAAAGCATCCAGGTGCATATAGATGAAAATAATAACAATGATCATAGCTGAGATTTGATGGGTCGCTTTAAGCTCAGCCCATGTGCTGCTGAGGGAGTGGCAGAACTAAGGGAGATTTTTGTTTTAAATTTTTTAGTGTGTCTTCTAATTTTTCTATGTTTAATATGTCACATAATTTTAAAACACAAAACTAACAACTCAGGCTGAATTGCTGCCCTCTGATTACCCCTTATATGACTATACCGTGTACGTTTAGCTGAGTCCTTTTGAGACTCAGCTAAAGAGGGCAAATGAATAAGTCTGCCTCATCCTTCTTTCCCCATTATGTAGCCCAGGGCCAGGCACGGGAGGAGGTACTGATAATATCTGGTTGAGAAGTCAGAGTTTATTGCTACTAATGTTCAGAGATTAACTAGCCTTAGCATTCCTTTTCTGCTTGAGGAAACCCAGGCTTATGTTTCCCCAGTTTCGTGACCCCAGCAGGACAGGACCTGTTTTTAAAGTTTGCAGTCACCGGGCGCGGTGGATCACGAGGTCAAGAGATCGAGACCATCCTGGTCAACATGGTGAAACCCCGTCTCTACTAAAAATACAAAAAAATTAGCTGGGCATGGTGGCGCATGCCTGTAATCCCAGCTACTCAGGAGGCTGAGGCAGGAGAATTGCCTGAACCCAGGAGGTGGAGGTTGCGGTGAGCCAAGATCGCGCCATTGCACTCCAGCCTGGGTAACAAGAGCGAAACTCTGTCTCAAAAAAAAAAAAAAAAGTTTGCAGTCTCACGGCTGAATTTTATGCCCATCACTGAAATACTTGCTGTGGCCAGGAGCATGGAATATGCCACTTGGCCAGGCTTGGGTCCACTGACCAGGCCTTTAGATGACTTCCCAAAGAAAAGTCAGGGTTCTGCTATCCAGAGGAGTTAAGATGGCTACTGAGGAAGTTAAATGCAACATCAGAGCCACCCCACAAACACAGGCATTTTAATCCTTAATTCTTTTTTTTTTTTTTTTTTTTTGAGACAGAGTCTTGCTCCGTCGCCAGGCTGAAGCACAGTAGTGCAGTTTTGGCTCACTGCAACCTCCGCCTCCCAGGTTCAAGCGATTCTTCCGCCTCAGCCTCCCAAAGTGCTGGGATTATAGGCGTGAGCCACTGCACCTAGCCTAATTCTTTTTGCTGTACTATATGCCATGCTTGTGCTCCCTGATGAGAATAGTCCCACATTAATGCTATTCATTGTTAAATCCTAGCATCCAACATAGTACTTGTATGCAGCAGGGACCTAATCAACATATAAGTGAATAAATACATCTCTTGGTGACCTAAATAGAATCATTTAACTAGATGTTTAAATCAGAATGCTTTGAGTTGTAAATAACAGAAAACTGGCTTAATAAAGGACATTTGTTGACTCATGCAACTGAAAAGTCCAGTGGAGCCCAACAGTCAGGCCTGGTGTGGTCAGGACTTCACTTTGTTCCAGTCTCCTGACTGCCCCCTTGGTATCATCCTCAGGCTTGTCTCTCTGTGGTAGCAAAATGACTGCAGCAGTTCCAGACATTACATCTGTATTCCACAACATCCAGAACAAGAGAGAATACAGAGAATCTGTATCACAGAAGTCCCAGCAAAAGTCGTAAGAGTCACTGTGAACTGAATAAGGTTACATGCCCACCTCTGAATCAGTGGGCATGTGGCAAGGGTTATTTACTACTGGTTTGTGTAACAAGATGATGAGTCTAGGGTTAGTGGCAAGGATTGTTTACTGGCTTGGCCTAGATCATGTGCCTCACCATTAAAATTGGGGGGATAGGAGAGGAGGAGAGTAGAATCAGCTTTCCTGAGACTACATGAATTCCTGATAGGAATTGAGACTTTGGGGAAGGGGAAAGCAGTCCGGATCCTGAGGATGTAATCAACAGGAATCCAGCTCAATTGAAAACCCTGAATCGTGTGGCATAAACAAGGGCTGCAAGAGTTAGAGGGCAATGAGTGAAGGTTGCAGCAGTCAGAGTGGGGAGGCTTCATGGAGGTGGATGAGAGACTGAGTCAAACCCTGAAGTGATAAAAGATTTGGGCTGGGCACTGTAATCCTAGCACTTTGAGAAGCCGAGGTGGGTGGATCACCTGAGGTCAGGAGTTCAAGACCAGCCTGGCCAACATGGTGAAACACCATCTCTACTAAAAATACAAAAATTAGCCAGGTGTGGTGGCAAATACTTGTAATCCCAGCTACTCTGGAGGCTGAGGAAGGAGAATTGCTTAAACCTGGAAGGTGGAGGTTACAGTGAGCCGAGATTGTACCACTGCACCCCAGCCTACACAACGAGAGTGAGACTCCATCTCAGTCAAACAAACAAAAAAATTTGGGCAATGTGGTAGGGTGGTAGAAAGGAAGGAGCATTTCCCATGTGGCAGACATCATGCTAAACCATCTGTATGCCAGGTATGGTGGCTCACGTCTGTAATCCCAACACTTTGAGAGGCTGAGGCAGGTGGATCACCTGAGGTCAGGAGTTTGAGACAAGGTTGGCCAACATGGCGAAACCCCGTATCTACAAAAATATAAAAATTAGCCAGGTGTGATGGTGCAGTCCTGTAGTCCCAGCTACTCAGGAGACTGAAGTGGGGGAATCGCTTGAACCCAGGAGGCAGAGGTTGCAGTAAACTGAGATCATGCCATTGTACTCTAACCTGGGCAATAACGCAAAACTCCAATCTCAAAAAAAAAAAGAAAAAAACCTCTGTATGCATTGTCTCATTTAACCCTTACAATGACCTACAAGTTTGCCATCATCATTATCCCCATTTTACAGATGAGAAACTGAAACCCAGGGGTCACACAGTAAGTGTTGAGGTTGGAACTTGGACCCAGCTTGTCTGGCTGAGAAGCTTGTGCCTGGAGTTATGACGCTGGTGAGTAAAGTAGACCATGGTCACCTGGGAAGTTTGCATTAGTGAAGTGAGTGGACTGAACTCAGGTTATCACAGAGGTAGTGCAGAATGTGAAGTTGTTCTCTCAGCTGTACTGTTTTCAGGGCAGCAGGGATCAAAACCAAAGCACAATTTCTTTGAAAATTTACCAAACTCTGACCTTAATCACGTGAAACCTTGTGCCTTCCCTCCCCACCAGATGGATTCTTCAGACCTGGCCTAGGTCCTGGTTCTTCTGCTCCTTACTAAGTGGCCTTGAATGTATCACTCACACTCTTTGAGCCTCAGTTTTGCAAAGTAGACACAGTAATACCTACCACATTTATTGATTCAACAGATTTACTCCTGCCTTATTTTTGCTGGGCCTGGGAGACCAAGAAACAAAGATGAATGAAACAGTGCCTGCCTCCAAGGACCTCCCAGTCTAGCAGAGGAGACGGATATAAAAGCAGAGACTTGTGGAGAGCAGTGGAAAACACATATCAGGGAGTGATCAACTTCGCTTAAGTGGATCTGGGAAGGCCTCAAAGTAGAGGACATCTGAGCCACACCTTGAAGAGTTAGTAGGAGTTTGCCAGGCAGGCACTGGGGACAGAGTTTTGTGAGTCAGATAAGCTATGTCAAATGTGTTTTATAAATTGGGCTCCCTTTCCCTGCCAGGCTCATACTCAGCTTGCATTGCTGCTGTGGGAAACAAAGAAATGCCCTAGAAATCCCTCCCTGGGCCAAGAGTTCCTAGAATTAGGGGCCGGGGAAGAGTTTTGCCTGCCGGTCAAAATCTAGGCTCATCATCTTGCCACACAAGGCCTGTTTGACTTCATCGTTCTCTTAATTTTACGCTCATGCAAAACAACCACCTAGAGTTCCATGAAATCAGTACCTCCCTGTTTCTCCTTCTGTGTCTCCTTCCTCTCCACACCCACCTGGCAACCTCTAATTTGTCTCCTGGAAATGTGATTGGCCCATACCCCACTCTTGCAGCCTCAGCACCCTTTTATTTGTAAATACATGGACTCCTACTTCTCCAGGGGACTGGGGTCTGGGGTTCCTTCAAAGACAAAAAGCAGGTCTCAGTCTCTACTGTACCATGCCTAGCACCAGCTGATGAAAGCTGCATCTCTGGATGGGTGGTTAGGAGTCTCACTTCTTCCATAAACATTGAGCTTCTGCCACAGGCCTGCTGGCATTGAGTCAGGCAAAAAAGATTCAGGAAGCAAATGGTACAATCCAACTGTGGAAGCACTCACAGTCCAGAGAGAAACTCGCATGTAAACAGTCCATTGTAATATTGGGTGATATGTGCTGGGATGAAAGGCTATCTGGAGCATGAAAGGGATATAGGAGAAATCAACTACTTTGGGCACATGGGAAATTGAGCAGGAATCTGCTGGGTGGTGAAAGACAGACACTAGAGCTTGTATGAGACATGAAAGCATGAACAAGTACAGCAGGCTTCAGGGTCAGTGAGTATGTGTATGGCTAAAGGAAAATGGGAAGAATGGAACGGTGCTGGGAGAAGCAGCTAGGGAAGCAGGCAAAGGACAAGGAATAGCAGACTTTACCCTTATGCCAAGGGTTTAGACACATTTTAGAGCCAGTTATTGAAGCTTTTCAAGCAGGGAAGGGATGATGTGGTAAGTTTGTACTTTAATGTAGAACAGGGAGGCCAGGGCTGGTCTATTACCCCAAGGCTTTTGGCCACTTAATAGTATTAACAACAGTTAATGCTTACTCTGATTACTCTCTGCAGGCCCCATTCTAATTATCTTTTGCATTTTATTTTATTTTGAGACAGAGCCTCACTCTGTCACCCAGCCTGGAGTGCATGGCGCGATCTCTGTTCACTGCAACCTGCGCTTCCGAGGTTCAAGCAATTCTCATGCCTCAGCTTCCCAAGTAGCTGGGATTATAGGTATGCACCATCACGCCTGGCTAATTTTTATATTTTTAGTAAAGACGGGATTTCTCCATGTGGGCCAGGCTGGTCTCAAACTCCTGGCCTCAAGCAATCTGCCCACCTCAGTCTCCCAAAGTGTTGGGATTACAGGCTTGAGCCACTGTGCCCAGCCACCTTATGCATTTCAAATGATTTGATTTTCCTAGGGCCCTATGAGACAGATGCATTTTAAGGTTGAAAAACTGAGGCATAAAGAAATTAAATAACTTGCATAACTTGGTAAATGGCAGGACTGACTGCACTCTGGCTGGCACACTTGAGGGCCTGTGCTGTTACTATGCTAGGTAGGATCCTGTCGTCTTCACAGTAATGATATGCTAACGAACATTTGTTGAGCACATATTCCATACTGTGCTTTGCTCTGTGGGCTTCAGATTGTTACCTTGGGTTTAACCAGGTTCTAATCAGGTTGGCAAGAAGGACACTCTCTGCCTGGGAGACCAGCCCCAGAGTCCAGTAAGACACTTCCCGGTCTTACTGTGTCAGAGCTGCCCATAGGGAAGTGACCTGGCCACCTCCCCAAATTGCTGATGGCGTGACCTTTGGCAGGGGCAGCCAGAGCCTCATGCTGCCTTTGGCTGAGAGCCCGGCCAGAGGGGCTGAGCCAGACTGGAGTGAGCAGCTGCATGGGCTGGGCCCCTGGGGCCTCCAGACACCCTGGCTCAATGCCTGGACACTGTTCAAGGCTGCTACAGCCAGAGCTGGGGACCAAGCACCAGGACCCCTGAGTTCCAGTCTCAGCTTGGTGGTGGATGTACTGCAGGACCTTGGGCAAATCCCTACCCCTCCATTGGCCCCAGTTTCCTGGAAGGCAATTGAATAAGATTACTCCTGTCTTTGGCCTTCCTCTCTAATACATCTATGACAGCCTCGACATTTGGAATACCACAAAGTAGTCCCTCCTCCCTAGAACCCAGGCCCCAGGTTATTTAGGATCTCTCCTTGGTACCAAGCCCTGCTGGGCACTGGGGCCACAGAGAGGAGCTGAGCTGATCCCTGCCTTCAAGTAGCTGCCAGTTGGTTGTCAGGTGGTGACGGGGTGGGGGGTTGGGGGGGGGGGCAAGTGAGACAGACAGGAAAACCAGCCATCAACCCAGTGTGGTAAGTACTGCAATGCATAAAGAGAAGAAAATGCTGCACTGCATAGACAGAAGGATGCCCAAGGAGCTGCAGGGCTCCATGGAGAGAGCAACTGACTGCCTGCAGTGGTCTGGAAGGCTTCCCAATAGGAAGGACATGAAGCTACTGCATCTTCCAGGTAGAGAAGGATATGTGCTTTCCTATTGAGGGAACAACCTACACAATGGTCTGGAGACAGAAAAGACCAGGTGTGTTGAGGAAGGAGTGAGCTCCATGTGGCAGATGGTGGAGGGGAGAGTGTGTGTGAGTGCAGGGAGATGGGGCTGCAGGGCAGGTGGGAGGCAGCAGGGACTGAGTTGAGTGCCAAGTTCCTGAGCCACAGCTCAAGGCTGGAAGGAGCAGAGCCCACACAGGCTTCACAGGCACTGGGGAGGGCCTCAAGCCTCTGGAGTCCCAGCTTGGTAACACTCTTCCTCCAGCTGCTTGCATTTCCCCCTGTGTCTCACATACTTCCTCCCTTCCCTGGAGGCCAAAGGCCACCCTGTGCCTTTCTGTTCAGGGCTCTCTGCCCCCTTCCAATCTCAAGTAAAGTTCTTCACAGGGCAGCCCATGCATTCCAAATGCCTCATACTTGGTGGGCCTCATTTTCTACCTTCTGGTTTACTGTCTTTCTCAGCTTTGCCTTGAGCCAGGCCACCCCTAAATGACTGACACATTTCCAGTTGTTTCCCAGGGACTTTCCCTAGTGAGACAGCTGAGACTGAAAGAACTTGTAGGTGATATAGAAACAGGGAGCACCTATGGGCCAGGCCCTACGTAGGCCTCTGGAGAACAGGCCAGACAATTCTTGCTGGGAGCCCTCAGTCTGGCTGGGAAGACAGATGCTAAAGATGTGATCATGTCAATAATTACTTAAAATTGTAACAGGGAGCTGACCTCCCTGCACAGACAGGGAAGGTATCTCTGAGTTGCAGTTTGAACCTGAGATTCTAGAGGACCGGCTTCCTGAAGCAGTATGGGAAGAGTGTTACGAAATACGAGGTGACTTGTTTCAGGTCATCTGGCCAGTAAGGGAGGCCTGGGGCCAAAACTCTGATCTGTCTGACTCAAGGCCCACTAATTTGCAGTTCCCTTGCACTGCTATTTTTCTCCCATTCAAATGTCAACAGCAAATAATTTTCATATCTTCTATATTGCTGGATCCCTGTGAGGTAGGGCCCACTCTCCCTATTCAGAGTCATACAGACCTGGGAAGTCTAAGTGATTCATCCATGGTCACAAGAAGGTCAGAACTAGGACGAGAACCACATCTGGGCTCCAGGATAACCTGGTGAGATCATGGAGGAAAATTGTTGCTCTTTCCCAGCTTTGCCTTGAACCAGGCTACCCCTGAATGACAGACACACATTCCCAGTTGTTTCCCAGGGACTTTCCTGGGAAACAGCTTCCTGGAGGAATACCAGAATGGCCTGAGAGATAATGTTTGACTTGGGAAAACCCTCTCCTGAGTCTGAGGGTGCCCATGGTCCCGAGAGCTGAGGGCAGACATTCAGAGCAAATTACGGTCTTTCTGCCCTTGAGATTGCAAACAGAACTGCTTTTGGATGAAATAGAGCATGAGCCCCATATTGGGCAAGCAGTGCAGGCCCCTCTAATCTCTCTAGGGGGTGTGGGTGCCACCATCAGAGAACTGTAGGCTAAAGGAAGCTCCAAGCCCTTGAACACTGTGCCCTCAAGCCCTGAAGTGGGAGGGAGTATCTTTGGGCCCTAAAAGGGTCTTGATCCTATTCAAGAGCTTTTGAGTGGTACTGGGAGGGCCTCTAGGCCCTTAGGAAAAAGACTTGGGTTCTGGTGATGAGTTTTTAGAGGACCTGGGGGAGGGATTTCTAACAATAACAGATCACTTGTCAGTGAGATGGGAGCAGTTGAGGTGTTTGAATATATT